AGAGAAGGAGAAAACACTTCTTATCCCATAAGGAATTAATAGCCAGGTTATATAAGGAACAAAAAAAAATCCAATTTAAAATGTACCAATGATCTGAATAAACACTTCTCAGAAGAAAAAATACAAATGTCAACAAACTTATGCAAAAGGATTCTATCATTAGCAATCAGGGAAATGCTAATTAAAACTACAATAAGACATTCTTATCACAGAATGGGCATAATAAGAAATAAAGTTTGGTGAGGATATATGAAAAAGAAACACACTTTGGTGGGATGTAAATTAGGACAAGCATTACAGAGAACAAGATGGAAGTTTTTCAGAAAGCAAAGAATAACCAGATACAGAAACACAAGGGCTGCTGTGCTCTTTCCCATGTGGATACATTTTTAAAACTTGGCCTGACTCTCACTTAGGGACTACCAGCAGTCAGGAAGGGGAGGGCTTGAGTAAAGGGAGGAAGGCCTGACCAGTACCCAGGTCTATGAATATGCATGTATAATTTGCAAATATTGAAAATCACACTGAACCCCATTAAGGTGTACTAGTAACACGTTAACCACTTTTTTAAAATTTCACTTAATAGTATAAGCAAGCATACTTAATAAGAAGCATTTCTATAGCAACAAAAGAAAAATAAAGGCTCGTATTCGGAGTGGCCTATGAGCTAATTTCTGAGTGTGGAACACAGCTGAACGAAAAGATTTCTAGATGTTGGGTCCAGAGCACGCTCCTTGGACAGGGGACAAGGCAGGGCCATCTGACAGGCCTCCCTGTTGTGGATACGAATCGGGCATCCTGCTGGGTGCTTCTGAGTCCTCCAGGACAGGTGCAATACTGTCCCCACCAGCTGTGGGGTGATTCCTGCAAGCTCTTCATAGAGTCGCATAGCCTCAGCCTGCAGCATTTCACCAAAAGCTCAAGTTTTGTTTCAATCCAAGTTAGAAAGATGAGAGAAAGTTGGAAACATTAGGCTGGAAATTTGCAACCTGAGTCAGACTGATGTCCCCCAAAGATTCGGAGGTTACTGAGCTTGTCAGGAGGTGACAGCTTGACCTGCCACTGGCTAGCAGACCTGTACGGGAAACAAGTATCAAGGGACCGGCCAGCGTCACAGGCTCCATAAAGTCAGTCGCAGTTCTCACAGCTGTCTGCTCAGGCTGTAGAGAGGCAGCCCGGGCTGGAGCACTTGTCTGGCACGTACGAGGCTCTGGGTGCAATCCTCAGCACTGAATCGACAAAAAAAACTGGTGACTCCTATCTGAAAATGTGACAGCTCAACCAGAGCCTGTTCATATACCCAGTCTGCACAGTGTTATCCAGCTACGAAGAGGAGTTTCTTCTAGAACATGTGGAGACAAATGTGTTGCCCTAAAATAAGACTAGTCAATGATAGTGTCCTAATCCTGGTGGACTAGGTAGGGAGAAAAAAAAAATTCAGGTTCTGATTACAAAAGTGTAATTTACTAAATTGGTGTAAGCTCTAGGAAAAGTTTTAAATCTGGAAGTTAAAATATTAAGAACCCACAAAATTTCAAATCAAAATTCATAAAAACTTTATCTTCGTCAGTTCCTTTATTCCCGTGTAATAATTCTCATTTTGTTTGATCTTAGCAGTTTCATGAAGCAATCAAGTGCGTTTTTTGAAATCAGGATCTGGAAGTGTTTACTAGCATAATGGTCTGATCTAGAAATGACTGGAAATGCATATTCCACATAAGCCAAAATAAACCTTTCTTCCTTTAAAAAAGCAAAACACTTGCATCCCAGCATACATGTCAGGGTCTTTTCCATTCATCTCCTTAAAAAAGAAACAACATTGATTCTTAAAATTGTGTGTTAAAAAAATAAAAAAGAAACTCTAAGTGTATCTTAAAAGATAAAAAAAAAAAAATGTGTGTTAGACATGTTTTCCCGTTTTTGCTTCAGAATCCAGTTAGTAGTTTAAAAATTTTTTTAAAAAGCTCCCTGCCCTCCAAGAATGATTTAAAAAGGGCCAGTCAGTATCCTCACCATCATGCTGACCAAGTCCCGAGCTCTGTTAAGGCACGTGTGCACGTCTGTCTCCAAGTCATGTTCGTAAACACCCAGCTGCCTCTGCAGATGCCTAGAGCTTTGGTCTTCATACAAAAATTCTAGAAATGCTCAAAAAGTTAATCACATGTTTCTCGTATCTATTATTTGTCTGAGCAACAAGTTAGTTTTTCAAGATGCAATGTAATTCATGATAAGAAATAACAGGAAGAAGAAATGGCACCATAAGATAAAATACTTCCTGGGAAGCACATACGATTCAGGTCACTATTTTATCATGACACAGAGCTTCATATTGCTGGATATACTAAGTTCTGTTCAGAGCTCATGAAAGCCAACATATCATGACACCTTACGTATACACAGCACTCACAGTTTGCAAAGTCTTTACCTGTATAACTTCGTGGAACATTCTTTACAATTCCATTTCATCTTAACATCACATCTCTAGGAGAAGCAGTTTAACTTTTTGTGTGTGTTCAGGGTCACACTATGCAGCTTGGACTCATAGTGTTTTCAGCCTCCCCAGTGCTGGAATTACAGGTACGTGCTACTACTCCAGGACTTGGTTGTCGGCTCAGCACGCCCAAGGGTGGGGCCAGCGCAGCATATGGTGCCTGGGATTGAACCCCAGTCCCTGTGCTTGCCTAAGCAAGCACTTAGTTCGTTGAGCTATCACACTGGCCCTCAGCATTTTAACTTTACTGTATGCACTGTGAGCCCCAGGGCTGCAGTCTGCTTCTTTAAAGCAACAGTTGCTTGCAGAGATACGGGAGGATGGCTGTGTGTGTAGCCGTAGAGACGTATAGCTCACTGGGGTCTCCATGTGCACACACCAATGACTGGGCCTGCAAAGGGGATCCTGGAAGGACTTGGGAGGTAGATGTTAGAATAAGGATCTGGAAAAATGTCATGGAGGTATAAGAAAATCCGTAGCGTAAGAAGGAAGAATATCCTCGTCACCGTGGAATACTTTCTTTGAGATACTCATCCTTCTCCTGTATTGCTAAGAGAAAATTGCATTCATGTTTCATTTCTCATTGCTCAGGTCAGATATACTTTGCTTACTGGCCACTGGACTCTTCTCTTTCCTCCATTTCCTCTTGCATGTCAGTGCTAAATGAAAGTCTCTTTCTGAAAGTAGTTTTTATGGCAATTAGGCATAATGTACAGTAGACCTATGGGTCTGAGGAGATAGCTCAGCAGTCTAAACGCCTGCCTGGCAAGCACAAAGACCTGGTTTGATCTCTGGTACTGCACACCATGCCAGCCCTGAAACCAGGTGTGGTGGCACATACCTACAAAGCCAGCACTGGGAAGGCTGAGCTAGGAGGATCACTATGAGTCTGAGCTGTGTAGCAAGACTCCATACCAAATAAATAAATAAATAGATTTCTTAAAAATTAAATAAAGTAGATCTATGAGTAATACTATTTCTGTTTCTACATGCAATTAGTATATTATTGTATATGACCTGCTTTAACTTGGCTTAGTTCTGCCAAGAAATATTGTATTATTGATTCACATTTCAGAAAGGCTATTAAAAGCTGCAAGAGTAGAGGGAGATGACTGTACATAGCTGTGTAAATGTCTCTTTTTTAAGGGAAATAAAATTTCTAAAATAAGCAGGATAATGTTATTTAAATGAAGCTTTCCCAGTGTCGGTAGAATAACACTTGAAATTACTTTTCACTGTGAATTTTGCAAAGCTTAATAAAAGCGGTGAAGGAACCATTTCCTGCAGCTTTAATGGAGTCCTCTGTGGTTCTTTGGGCCGTCTCCCCAGGCTTTCACAGATGCTGTGACAGAGAATACGCGAAAACTGTAATGTTTTCCCTAAAGTGAATCAATGGATTAGAGGTAGAAAATGGAATAACACGGTCACTGTAATATTACTGATTACTCTTGTGCCCACATGGGGTAATTCTAAAACCAAGATCAGATGGTCTAAAATAGAAACTTTCTATTGTGGCCGTAATAGGCATGACTTAGAATTTCCTTTATTATTAAAATTATATTTATTCACACAAGATCAGAAATTAATATCACAAATTTGTATTTAAGGATGATTCAAAATCAAGAAAACCTTCAAAAATATATGATTTATCATCAAATTCCAAATTACTGCTTCTATTTATAATGCAATTTTTTGGCTAACCAGTCTTTAACCTGCCTGTAGTATTTCAGGCTAAGGTCTAACATTTCTTAACATATAATGTCAAAAATAGGCCCAAGTGACTTTCCCCAGCTCTTGGGAGGCTTGTCTTCAACCTTGCAGCCCAAGCTCTGAGGAGCCTGTCTGGGAACTGAAGCTCAGCGCCGGAGTCCAGAGCCCCCCAGCCACCCTTCTGCCCTGTGCTGTGTTATTAAGATACACCTAACACATACCTGGCGCCTGTAGGTCAGTGGACACGGTTGATGAAATCATATGACTGCTTGCCTTTTGAAATGCGACAAGGTTCCGGCTGGGCCCTCGTGCATATTCATGCACGTTGGAAGGCAAGGTCTCCAGCTCTTCCTTTCTGACTGGCGTTAGAGTGGAGGAAAGGGGGCTCCGACATGCAGATGCTCACGCCTCCCGTTGCCCTGTGCCAGCATCATGGGCAGAATTCTCGGCTTCTCTTCTTCCTCCACTCCTGAGCAAACTATGACTTAACAAGTCATGCACTTTCCTGGGCTTCAAAGTGTAGAATGTGTTACTTGCTTACAGGATGGTTCTGTAAGGCTGGCACGCGATAATGTAGATGGATGGCTTTTATGAACCCTAAAGCCCTATTCAGTAAGGCTGTGAAATCAAATATCCATTCCTCCCACTGGGGCAACTGGTAGCCATCTTCCATTGATCTCACCCACGTTTGACTCCAAGTGTAGTATGCACTGCTGGACAGAAAGAAAAGGAGCACCATGGCTTTCTGTAAAGGAAAAATACACCAGAATGTGTAAGTGTACTTTATTTTCCATTTTAGGTATTGACTTCAGTATGACAAAAATTTTAAAGAATCCAAGAGCATATGTGATGTCCACATTCAAGGAAGACTCATGTGTGATGGAGCCAACAGCCAAGGTATGCGGGCAAGTCATTACTAGAAGACAGTTCTCATTTAACCTGCCCTGTGCTCGCAATGGGCCAGCTTCACATAGGTGATACTATTACATCCTCCATGTCCATTTTAGAGAAAAATATATATAATGCTCAAAAAGGTTTATCTGGAGGGGCTTGTCTTAATGTTACAGTCCATTCTCTTCTGAAGTAGTCCCACCGCTAATGCAGAAAAATCACAGCATTTATCTTCCCTACAACACGACTTCTCCCGGGTGAACATGCAGAGCCCTCCTCCAGCGTGCTCATGGGGCTGTGATCCTAGTAAGCACTCGAGGTGAGGCTGCGTTAGGGGAATAACACAGCAGTCGCCCCGACTTCTTTGTAGAGGCTGACCCTGGAACCGGGCCGTGGGTGGAGATGCTCTGCTACTCTCGCGTCCCAAATGCTTCACTCTTCATGTTCTGTAAGGCGCTTTGCAAGTCGGGACCCACCCACGGGCCTGCCATCTTCTGCTGCTCTGCAACACAAGTTATTGAGCTTATTGGCTTGCAGTTCTGAATTTGATCCCTCAGTTTTGTTAGATAATTAGATTTTAGGTCTGATACAGTCATTCTTGATAAAATGTAATCATATTTGTCTAGTTACATTTGATTTAAAAATATAAATTTTTACTTAAAATTTAAAAAAGTCCTGGGCCCCTTCCATTGGATACTGTACCTTGGGGTGCCATAAAAAGTACCCTTTAAAAAAGCGCCATAGGATTGGCCAGATAGCTCAGCGGACTAAAGCACCTGCTTAGGCAGACGCAAGGGTGGGGTTTCATCACCCAGTGACTTAGACTGGGTGTGGTGGGCACCTGTAATCCCAGTGCTTGAGAGGCTGAAAACAGGAGGATCACTATGAGTCTGATCTGTGTAGTGAGACCCTGTGGACCTTGTACTAAATACATTTTTTTTTTAAATTTCTCACTGTACTAGAGGTTAGACAAATCCAGGAGTAGAGAGTCGTCCACTTGGTGTTCTGGGACATGCTCTCTTCCTGCCTGCACACAGCCTCTTTTTATAGTAACCTTGGATGGCAGAGATGAAGAGTTCTGGCACTGACACCAGGCCCCTCCTGCAGGGCCACATCACATCCAGAGCCCCTACTGCAAATCCACCTCACTGGGTGTCAGGGCTTCAGCACGACTGGGGACGGAGCAGACGTTTAGTGCATCACAGGCAGGATCCAGCCTGTGCTGACTGTTCATTTTTGGAAACATGCTTTGGAAAAGCACTGTAGAAAACCAGGAGTGTTTTCAAAAGAAAATAAGATGACAAAAGGATCTGCTCCCACAATAGGTCAAATATTCAGAGATATTTCTGTTAGCAACAAAAATACTCTGGAAGCCATATTGTTTTCATACTGTTTAGAGGCTACTGTAGAAATCAGAATTCAACATTTTCTGTGTGGTTTCAAAAAAAAGTATGACATATCAAGAATGGAAAGCTATAGGGAGATAGATTTCAGGAGAAATAAAGAATTGTCAAAGTCCCCAAGTTGTCTGGCTGCCCAGAGGGCACTTATGGGACCATGTCACTGAACGTGACATTGCATATGAGCACTAAAGGACACACTCAGACCACACAACTAAGGTTTTGCTTCAGTCAGTGTCAGCAGTCATCCTTTAAGATGCTAAAAGACACACCAGGCACCAAGGCGCCCTTTGGGCTCTAGGTCATCCCTTGTGATCCTTTCAACATTCACGAGATTGCTTAGGTTTTCAATTTTACTGCCATTAACTCTTGACTATAAAAGTCTATGAAATCTTTTTTTTTTTTTTTTTTTTTTTTTTGTACTGGGAACTGAACTCAGGACTTTGCACTTGCCAGGCGAGCACTTATTCTACTGAGCTATCTCCCTGGCCCTCATTCATGAAATCTTAAAGTGCTCTAAAAAAAATTCTGCCTTTCGCTTTTGGGGGATGAAAGGAAGCATTGGGCTTGCTGTTCGTTGGCGGGGCTTTTTGGAGGGACTAACAAGGTATTCACCGGGCAACATGAAGCTGCACTAAAGCATGTTTTAAAGTAACTATTGTCTCACAAAACACTGAATTTGCATTGAATACTTAGTTCTTCTCTTACCTGGTTGAGTGACCCTTTAAAATCATGATCCTCATAGGGAAAGAGACCATGAACTGTGGTTTCCCTAATAACTGACAACTTGAAAAAAAGTAACAAAAATTTCTTTGTCTAGAATTTTAGTAAGATAATTTTTATCTTCCACAACCCTTTTCAAGCAGAAGCAAGAAAAGGACCACAAAAGTCTTCTCTAGACAGGGAAGATAATTTTTAAGACTGGGTGTGGTGGTGCTTGTCTGTAATCCCAGCACTTGGGAGGCTGAAAACAGGAGGATCACTACAAGTCCAATCTGTGTAGTGAGACCCTGTAGACCCTGGACTAAATTTTTTTGAAAAAGATAATTTTTAGCCTTAGCTGAGTTTGGGCTGGGTGTTAGTTATCTTGGGCTTTGCATTGCTAACAAAATACCTGAGATAATCAACCTAAAACTGGTAAAGACTAAGCCAAGTACAGGGGTGTATGTGTAATCCCAGCACTCAGAAGGCTGCGGGGAGAAGATCACCATGAGTTTGAGGCCAGCCTGAGCCACATAGTAAGTTTGAAGCCAAACTCTATCTCAAAAACAAACAAAAAGAGTAAAAAAAAAAAAAAAAAAAAAAAAAGGAAAGATTGATTTTGTTTCTGACTTTTAGAAATTTCAGCCTGTTGCCTCAGACTTGTGTTCAGGCAGGAAGTGGTGAGAAGGCAGGAATTCAGGGCAAAGGAGCGCTGTTCACACATGGCAGAAGGAAACATGGTAGGAGGAAGGCTGGAAGGATTCAGGCTGGCAATATTCTCTTCAAGGGTCTGTCCCTAATGACCTCACTTCCCCGCCTATGGCCTTTCTTCCATTAGGCCCACCCCTCATGACCTCACTTCCTTCCATTAGGCCCGCCCCCATGAGCTTACTTCCTCCCACTAGGCCCTTCCCCCTAAAGTTCCACCTTCTCCCCACAGCGCCACAGGCTGGTGAACAAGCCTTTCAGGGACATTTAAGATTCTAAATACAGCAGGCTGCTTTTGTGTATATCTTAGCAATCAGTTTACATATAATCTGATTTGGTCTATCATAGAACATTAAGATGAGGGACACTCATTTACATGATAGAAAGCATGTCTAATACATCGTTTTCACCACACAAGAATTCATTTTCTTTATGATTATCCCATTATTCCCATCATTTGTAATCATTCTGGATCAACTAGAAATTCTGAAACCCATATTAAGCATAAAATAAAAAATCTACAGCATAGAAAGTGACCATAAAAGCAAAAGAAATTCAAGAGAAGCTTATGTATCAATAAAGCAAATAAAATCATATATTATTTCAAGAAGTGGAGTAAATAATACATCTCTCACTTAACATTACAAACATTGGGGGAAGACTTAGTTTTTTGAAGCTTTTTTTTAAAGAGAATAAAAAATAAGGAAAAATATTAAAAGCTACACAGAATTTCAAAACAAGATGATAGGAAATCAACAGTAGTTGCTACTCTAAAGCTTATTTTTATGAATAGTTGTTATACTGATCTTACCCCCATTAGACTAATAGTCTCTTGGAGTTATTGTACTGATTGATTTGTTTGTTTTTGACACAAAATTCTTGGTCAAATTTTTGATTGTTATTCACTGTATCTGGCTTTTGCTTTGATAGTAAGTCAGCTGTTAACATGATTCAGATCCCATTATATTTCATGAGTTGCTTTTCTCTTGTTGCTGAGATTTTCTTTTTGTCTTTAAAAATGGTAGAATTTACCATCTATTTTGTAGATGGTGAATTTACCCTACTTAAAATCTATTAAATGTCTTGAATATATTTTTCCTAAAATTTAGAAAGTGCTGGCTACTACAGCTTATTTGTAATTTTTCTTTCTCCCCTTTCTGGCTCTTTTCATTTCTTTTTTTTTTATTCCGTTATTGTGCTGAATAATCTGTACTAACCTATACTCAAGCTTGTTGATAAATCACAAGGCTAGAAGGGCCTGACTGCACATATTCATAAGATGCTTTGACCAGATCCAAAAAGAAAAAAATACAGCATATGCTCCCTAATATGTGGAATTTAAAAAGGATGACAAAAAGTAGTAGAAGGGGGACTATCACTCGAAAAGGATGGGAACAGGGAGAGTAGAGGAGAACCTGAGGACAGGTAGTGGGTGTGAGTGTGGTTAGAATCTATTACATGCATTGAAACCAAAAGGCACGAAGCTGGAGGGAGGTGACAGACTGAAAGTGGCCAGGTGACAGGGAGTGACATGCACCCGCACACCTGCCAAAACCAGCCCAACTGACTTCTAGAACCAATATGCACTAATTAAACAGAAAAAGAAGAAAAGAAACAATAAAAAGATGCTCTGTAGAATGCACTTTCTTGTGTTTTAAGTACATTTAATAGTAATCTTATTTGTACTTGCAATGGAAGTTAACAGCTCTTTCAAAATAGTTGCTCTGTTCTCTTTTTCTTCAGTCCCACTATAGCAGCGCTGGCCCGGAGTTTTACCGCATTCTCTTCAATTTTGGCGGTCAGAGTCCAATGATTTTATACTATCTGAAGATGCATGAACTAGAGGGCACTTCCAGGAGCCCCAAGAAAGAGAAGATCAAGCTCACTGAAATACTCCAAGAACCATATCCTTTTCAAGCTTGCCTTTAATATGATCAGCTTCTAAAATACTGAAAACTACTTACTAAATGTCTCAACTAAGGAGAAAAAAAAAAAACAAACGCATATTTTTACCAATGCATTAGGTCCCATTTATGTGTTCCCAAACCTTGTGTAACCTCTGTGATTAAGCTGTTTTTCCTTTTAGATTTGAGGCTGATTTTGCAGGTAAGAAAAGACCAATATACACAAAGCCAAAACCCAGGCACTTCATGGGCAGGCTGGGCCCTCTGATAACATTGCAACCCTTTGGCTCCAGGCTCCGCTCAGCCTGCTGTCAACTGCTGGGTGTGGGCCTCCAGGGCCCACACAGGGAGCCCCCAGCGTGCTGTCACTGTGGGTCCTTTGTTCAAATAAAAATGAACAGAATGCTTAATGTATGAAATGAAAATAAATGAAATCCGAGCCCCTTGGTTGCGATAGGGGCAGGGCCTTTATCTCCTGACACCCCTAAGCCCTTCGGTAGACCACACGCTGGCCCAGGCTTCCTTGGGGTGCAAAGGGATCCAGCGCAGCGGCCCCTAAATTGGTACATCGCAGGTTTTGATACAGGAAAGATACTAGGATTACCGTTCATAATATCTATTTTATTTTTATTTTTTAATCTTCTATTTACTTACTTATTTGGTACAGGGTCTCGTTACGCAGCTCAGATTTGTAATGATCCTCCTGTCTCAGCCTCCCCAGTGCTGGGATTACAGGCATTGTGCCACCACACCTGGTTTTGGTGGCCAGCAGGGCACACCCAGGGTTCTGGCCAGCATAGCATGTGGTAACAGGGATCGAACTCGAGGTACTTACACCTGCCAGGCAGGCACCCAGCCCACCAAGCTGTCTCCCCAGCCCCAATTTTATCTTTCAAAATAAACTCGAAGTTGCTTTTACAGGAATTTAGTAAAAGGGCTTCCTCCCTCAGCCGTATTCGGGTCCGCAGGCTCTGGCGTGGCCGGCGACGGGCTCCTGTGTGCCTGTTCTTCTCTGGCTATCCCAGCAGTCCAGGTCCTATGTAGATGGTGCAGACTGAGAGACTCCGGCTTCTGGTTTAACCAGGTCAGTGCCCGTTAGTGAAGAGCGGCTCGGAAGAAGTCCTGAAAGTAAATTCTGGTGGATGATAATACTTACAATGCCAGAGTGAGTTTTTAAAACCAAAAAAGTGTTAAGGAGCTCCTCTCCCAGCAGTTTGACTAAGGGGTCAGACAAAAACGTGAAAAATAAAAAGTCCGTCAATGTTGAGGTAAAGGTCTACATCATTATCGTGAACAATGAATTCAATGCTCAATGTGTGTTTTGGTTTTTAATGCTGACTAGTATAATGTGGATTTAATTTGCAAGGCATTTAAAATCCCACTGATCAGACCAGGACTGAGCTCAAGTTCAAGTACAAAGAGGTCTGGTGTAGCATTAATAAGTAAATTAAGTTAAATTTTGTTTTTAAAAAATTTTTATTCTATCTCAATCTTTTCTATTTATAGAATTCATGTCTTTTGTACCATCTGTAATACATTACTACAGATTAATGCATGTGTGATTTATAAAGTTCAAACCTCTTATGTGGAGGTTCACTCACATATCTTTTACTTGTAATATGTTTTATCAAAAAGGATAGCACTCACCACTGGAGAAGGCGCGAAGGGCTTCCCTCCCCAATACTTCTTCCCTGTACCCTTCCCTCCAGGCCACCTCCAGCCCTCACAGGCTACAGTGTGTGGCATTAACTTGGGTGACCTGGGTCACCCAAGGGTCCTCGTCACCTTCTCACCCTCGGACACAGCACCAACCCCCCCCCCACTTGGGGGGGAGGTTTATTTTGGCTCCTGTTCCGATCTCTAGTGGGCTGGCTCCAAGGCAGAAGGTACAGTGGAAGGGACAGCAAGTGACCAGCGCACCACAGGCACTGAATGCCTGGTGGGTGGATACAGGATGGATTTTATTAAAAAGAAGACCATGATCTTAGATGAAGTAAATCAGACACATAAGCTGAAATATCTTTCTTATATGAAGACTCAGTATATAAAGTGCATAATAAAGCACAGACAATAGGAAAAAGAGAGAAAAATTCTTGTATCGCAGCATGCCCAGTGTATTTAAAGTGCACCTTAATTTAGTATAACTGTCTCATGTGCTCTGTATGGTTCTTTTAGGGGCCAGGGATATAGCAGCACAGCCCCTACCTGGCAAGGGCAAGTTCCTCAGCCTCATTCCCAGAACCAAAACAAGAAGTATGAGCCAAAGTCTATGAATTTTGGCCTTCTAGTTTGGCTGTTAATGCATATGTCAGTTAGCTTCATAGGGATTGAGAAGATGCACAAGTGAACCTGATAGTGGGTGGGGAAGGAATGGGGGGAAAGGGGGAAAGGGGAAGCAGAATGTGCTTTGTGTCCCAGGTCCCCTCAGTGAATAGAATTACAATGTTCTGTAAACATGTACTCATAAAGGTAGAAACTTAATTTTTTTAAAAAAAAAACTTTTTTTGTCTTTTGAAGCAAGGTTTCACTAAGTAGTTCAGGTTGGCCTTGAATTCACTTTGTAGCCCAGGATACAGAAATTGTCGAACTCAGAAACTGTCAGAAATTGTCCTTCATCAGCCTCCCCAGTGCCAGGATTACAGACACATGCCACCACACCTGGCCCAAAACAGCCCACATTTCACTTTGTTTTTCAACAAAATTTGACATAATAGTGAAAATTAAGAAAACTAAGTAGAGATAGAAATTTAGCCATCGTTGGTACACAGTTACCGTTACCAAAATGATGTTTATTTATAAACCTACTAAACAGATGCTGTACCAGGAACTGTTCTAAGTATTTATTAACTCACTTAATTTTCATGCAGATTTCTGAAATTGGCACTGTTAAGGTCCCTGTTTTACATAAAAGGAAACTGAGTCATAGAAAAGCTGGGTGACTTGGAGGTGATAGCACTTGCCATCTCTCCTTAGCCAACTCATTTCTGAGCACATGGACTCGACACTCTGGACTCCGTTTTACCACACAGCATATGCAGCTCAAGACTGGCTAAGAGCGAGTTCTGGGCCTCGTCCACACAGGCCGTCACGTAGGCGGCACCAACCCCGCCCTTTTCTACTGTAAATTTGTACTTCAGCATAGTAGTAGCTGGCTGTGCGTCTCAGTAGCTGTGCCCGGAGTTACAGGAAGCAATCTTTGTGTTTATCTGCTTGGTATGGCACTCAGCAAGGTGTGTGCGTATGTGCAACAGTGCCAAACTGGGATTTTTATTCACATAATGCTCCAGCTAATAGGCTTTGTGTATTTTCTCTCAGTATCATGGTGGGGAGGGGCGGGGAATACACTAGTGCACTCTTCTGTTTTCTAAACCATAGATGATGATGGAAACAGCAATGTAAGTGCAGATGTGGCTAATAGAAATGGTACAAAGTAGTCACACAACCAAATGGAATGAGCCAGTGTGAGCACAGGGTCCAAAAAGGTAGCGAGGGTCTTGGCAGAGAGGAAAGCTGCTGGATGGAATGCCGTGTACCATTCAGTGTTGGAAATCATCTGCAACAGATAAAATGCTACAAGCTGCTGTGACGTGCAGAGCTGCTGGGGTACAAGTGGCGCTCTGCATGCTCCAGCAGTCATATTCAAAACTGGACTTGTTATGGCACCTCGCCAGCTGAACTGAAAGCATCCACAGGTTGGCTGTCCCTAGCAAGGCCTTCTCATGCTAATCACAGGAATGTAAGAGACTTAGGGAAGAGTGACTGGTGTAGGCTTGAGGTTTGGAGAATAACAGTGACAGGGAGGAGATCTGGGTTCCTTCAAATTGCCTGAGGTTTAATAATGAAACCACCCACCATGAAAGAAAAAGTACTGATAAACTGCTATCTGCTCATTGTTGGAGCAATTTGTGGGTAACTGTCCAGCACTTTACACAGCATCTGAGCACAGGACTATTGATGAACATCTTGCAACATTTTACGGCCACTGTAGGCTCAAGCATTCTATTGCAAAACTATGGGATTTCACATACGCTCAAAATATGGCACACAAATTTATGGCCTTGTAGATGCAAAGGCTTTTATGCTTTCAGTTTAGACATTTATCTGGAGCTCAGCCACCAGATCCTTCTTCATATAGCAATAGACTGAAGGATGTTTGGACAGATTGGTTGCTCCCATCACCCAAAGCGATCGGAACATGACGTTCCACAACAGACTTGCCTGTTCCCAACTGATGCTGCATTTTCTAACAGCGCAAGTTGACCAGCGTAGCAAGTGCATGCAGGAACAAGGCAGAATTTCCAAATGACATGTTGCAACTTCTAAACAACTGTATAGTACAATCTTTGGATTCCAGAAAGATATAATATTGGCCTCATTTATGGCAAAGAAAAACAAACTGGCACTTCTGATGTCGACATTGTACTATGATAGAAATATCGATAAGGAAACCTCAACGAAACAGAAGCCCAAGATTATACTTTCTACAGCAAAATCAGAGGTGGGATAGATGCTGATGAATTATTCAACAACTATGATGTCACTCGAAATCTGAAGCATTGGCTGGTTGTTGTGCTTTCCTCGATCCTAAACATGTGTGGTAGAACTTGATAGTTGTAAAGAAAATAAGCACAAAATAACCCAGAGAAATTTTCTTAGAGGATTGAGACGGGAGCTCGTAGGAGATCACTGACAGCAGGGCAAAAACAAAACGTTTCTGCCCAGAAACTACACACACAAAAACATGAGGAGCACACTGGTAAGCTGGCAGGCGGGCAGGCGGGCAGGCGGGGGCAGCACCACAAGGACCTGCCACGACAACAGGAAAACAAAAAGGATGCCAGCTGTACCTGCAGGAAGGGACAGGAAAACAAAACGTGCATGTGTCAGTGTAGGAGACACTTGGTGTGGAACATGCAGTTGTTGTTTGTGAAAACTGTCTTGGGTGCGGCAGCTGAAGCAAAGATTCTTTCTGTGGTAGACGTTTGCTGGTATTTTCACTG